GTTGGGGGCGATATGCTGACTCTGTAAACCGCTTAGAGAGGGCTGAAAGCCCTATGAAGCGGTATATGAGTCTAACTGCTATTGCTATTGCTATTTCCAGAACAGTCCAGACAAAGTCTGCTCTGGATCATTTGCATAATGACCCAAAAGAATTGACAAACGCAAGAATGCAAATGGTATACATTACATCCAATTGGATTCGATTTAATTTTCCTCCCCCAGATTTTAACAGACAGGATCTGTTAAAATAAGGCTTTACTGTAGTTTGTGGATGGAAGGGACGACCCCTCCCTTCACAAATGTTGCTGAGTTAGACTTCCAAGTTTCTGGAGATAGGGATTAAAAAAAAAAAAAAGGCAGCTTTGTGCCTATAGGTTTCCGGATCTAAATTCTCCCTCTTTCCGTTTCTCTCTCAGGAATATTTCAGAAGAGCACAGAAAATACTCCTTGGAGGAAGAGACCACGTGGTTGCGGATTCGGTCCCTGACATTACGGTTAATAAGCGGGCTGCCAGCTCTTGGCCACAGCAGCCAGCCAAAGAACTCAGAAAAAACCACCGAGAATGGCGTTTCCTCCAAGATCGACACCGTCCGGACTCTCCTGCGGCAGCTGGACGATACAGTGAGATCTGGGAAGTGGTTCCTACAGAAAAATATTCAGGTATAAGTCAGGGAAAGAATGCTGATTTTTTTTTAAATAGACCGATTGCAATAACACGAATTGGGTTAGATCACAAATAAGATTGTCATGCCGTGTCTTCCTTTCCACAGTATCCGGTCCTCGGCCCCCCTCCTTCACGGATGGCCAGCTTCTTTGACAGTGGGAGCTGCCAGTCCCAAATCAGCTTGTTTTATCTAGTTAGTGAAATTTATGAATTAGATACCAATGGCTTAGGTAAGCCCTCCAACTTCCTTCAATTTGGGGCTGAAGGGAGAGAGTGGGAAATAAGGATTAGTCCCCATAGTAGCCAACCTTTGGCAACTTTAACCTGGCTGGCTGGCTGGGGAATTCTGGGAGTTGAAGTCCCACAACTTTTACAACGGAGTTGTGCCACAGTTGCATTTTCCTTTTGCTTCCCCCCCCCCCTCCGCCTTCATCTGTGTATTTAACGATAAGCCTCTTCCGATTGGATAAACGATTGGATCCCTTATTTATTTGCAGAAGATTCCACGGCGATTCAAGAGCGGATAGGAAATTGTTTCAAATCATTACTGGAGCAACTAACAGGTATGCAAGCTTTGCCAATAAGTCCCCAAGAATTCTGACTTGCTTCAGACCTGACAAACCTGCTTCCTTACTTGTGGGCTTGCTTTGGAGTGTGAAGAGAAGGGATGGGTGTCTGTGTGGCTTTGCAAAAGACTTAAAATATTCACAAGCCGTTTTTCTCCCCTATTTCTCTCCCTCCTTCTTTCCTTAAGATCAGGTCAATAAATGCAAAGGTGATTTGTTGGAAATCCGGGAGGGCAGCTTCAAAACCCATCCACATATTTTAGAAAACCTGGTCTTCTTTGTGGAGGTGAGTGTGGGCGGTCGGAGCCACCCGGCCTGCCTTGACTGCAAAAGGCAGCCATGCCCCTAAAGCAGTGTTTCTCAACCTTGTCAACTTGAAGATGTCTGGACTTCAACTCCCAGAATTCCCCAGCAGTGGTTAGGACAGTGTTTCTCAACCT